CACGAGGTGGATGGGCTGGGCTGGCCCTCCTCAAGCCAGCATCGCCGACCTCGGCGGCGAGTTCGAGAGGGAGTTCCGCGGCGAGCTCGAGGGCATGGGCTGCGAGCTGATCGCCACGGCAGCGCTGAGCCCCACGCAGAACAGCGTCTGCGAGAGGCACGGCGGCGAGTGGAAGTACATCGCCAAGGCCATCATCGACGAGTACCAGATCGATTTCACGGCCCCAGGCGTGCTGGAGTGGCTTTGCACCGTGGTCAACTGGGCCAAGAACAGCAAGATTGGCCCCTCAGGATTCAGCCCGGCGCAGTGGGTGCTTGGTCGCGGCTACAGGCTGCCCTACGGCATCCTGTCGAACCACGCGAGGTTGTCCCTCCACCAGCGGGCCAGGGACGACCAGACGTTCCAGCAGCGCATCGGCATGCTGGCGGCGGCGCAGCGTGCAGCCCAGGCGGTCGAGTACGATCGTCGGCTCTCGGAGGCCTTCCTGGCCAAGAGCCGAGGGAAGTCAGCGAGGCCATCGAGCCTCAATTTCAGCATCGGCGACCAGGTCTTCTACTGGCGTGGTCTCAACAAGGCCAAGAAAATGTGGAATTTCAAGTGGCACGGTCCTGGAGTTGTCATCGGCTACGAGGGCAACAACGTGTGGGTTTCGCACCGCAACGCCACCCTCAAGTGTTCGCCGAAGCACCTCCGACCGGCCATGCCCGAGGAGTGCGTGCCCTGGAACGAGATCTTCGACGCTCTGGCCCACAACCTGGAGCCCGAGTTTGAGGAGGACACGCCGTATATGGAGGCACCGCCTGGTACGGAGACCGACTACTACGACATGACTGTCGACGAGGAGGAGCTTCCCGGACCAACACACATCCAACCTCGGGAAGACGCTCTACGGGGAAAAGTCGCGGTCGGTTCGGCTACCGACCTGAGGGCTCGGCCGAGGAGGAGACCCCAGGACCCCCTCCTGATTTTGATGCCGCTGCGGGTCCTGAAGAATCAGCCGAGTCAGATGCCAAACGAGTTCGATTTCATAATGACCAAGATCAAGAGCCGGAAATGCCACAAGTACCTCAACGGGAAGCGGCACCACCCCATCAAGAAGCCGACCCAGAGCCGGAGACGCCCTACTTCGACCAGGAGTCGCCCATGGACGCGCACAATCAGCAGGTTCCCGAGGACGAGATGGATGAGGAGACGCCCTACATGGAGCCGCCAGGAGCCGACATCGAGGAGGAGACGCCCTACATGGAGGAGCAGGCCTCGGAGCAGGAGCCACAGACCGCGGAGGAGACGCCGTGCCAGGCACCGGCCGCGGAGGAGCCCCGACCTGCACCACCTGGGCACGCTGTGCGACGGACAAGGTACAACCCGCTCGACGACCTGCCCGTCAGCATCCGCAGGAACCTCGAGTCCAGGAGGATGGCGGCACAGTACGACCCACTTGACGACGTACCGAGGGTGATTCGGCAGGAGCTTCGACAGCAGCAGGACGCCAAGAAGCACAGGGTCAACGAGCACATGATTATGGAGCTCTCACTCAAGGAGGCGGCCGATTTAGATTTCTCGACTCCATGCCCGACCAGGTTTAAGCGCGTCGATCTTGTGGGCAACTCGAGGAGCAAGGAGCTGACGTTCAAGAACCTCACGGGCGCCAACCAGGTCAAGATGCGTAAGGCTATGGCGTCAGAATGGGACAAGTGGCTGGCATTTCATGCAGTACGATTTTGTTCCAAGGAGGAGCTGGACGAGCTCATGCGCGAGAGGCCGAAGCTCAAGATCGTTGGTACCCGCTGGGTGCTGACCGAGAAGGACGTCGACAACTTCAAGGCGAGGCTCGTTGTTCAAGGTTGCCAAGAGAACGACCTCGGCATCCGTACAGACGCCCCGACTGGCAGTCGGGACGCCTTCTGGCTTACGGCCGGGTTCGCTGCCCAGCCGGGCTGGGACGGGGCTTTCTTCGACGCGAAGAGTGCCTACCTGCAGGCCGAGGGGATCGATCGCGTGTTGATGATCAAGATGCCGCTGGAGAATCCCCCTCCAGGCACCAAGCCAGGCCAGGTTTTCTTTGCGACGGGCAGTATTTATGGCACTAAGGATGCTGGCAGGGCCTGGTATTTGTATCTGAAGTCTGTGCTTAAGGAGTTCGAGATACACGAGAGCAAGCTGGAAAGAGGTTGGTATTACCTGGCACACAAGGGCGAGATCGTCATGGTCATTCACTCGCACGTGGACGACATGTTTTTCGCTTGGAAGCGCTCGAACGCCTACGTCCAGGAGATCATCCCGAAGCTCGAGAAGCGCTTGTACCTTGCCAAGAAGACTGGAGACGTGGACTACCTGGGCACTCGAGTTCAGATGACGCGCGATTTCATCAGCGTGACTCAGGAGAAGGCTATTAAGGCGATCGACACGATACCTATCCAGCCGAGCCGTCTGAAGACCCCGGACGCGGATGCGACGCCGGAGGAGATCAGCAGTTTCAGGGCGACCAACGGCCAGGTGCAGTGGGTTGCCACGCGCTCGAGACCGGACGCGGCCTGCAAGCAGAACATGGCCGCCCAGAAGATCAGCAAGCTCAAGGTGAAGGACGTCATCGACATGAGCAAGTTGGTCAAGGAGCTAAAGGAGAACTCCACGCTGGGCATTAGGGTCGTCAGGAATCGGGTCAGGGTCTTGCACGCGCAGCTGCTCTGCTACGGGGACTCCGCATTTGCGAATGCCGAGGGCGAACGCTCGCAGTGCGGATTGGTTGGAGGTCTCACCCACAAGCCCGAGGAGGTAGCCATTGGGAAGTTCAGCGAGATGATACCTCTCACTTGGTGTTCAGGCCGGGTGAAGCGAGTTGTTCGGAGTACGCTCAGTGCCGAGGCCTACGCCATCAGCGAGGCTTCCGAGTACGCCGACTGGTATCGCCAAGTGCTCACCGAGCTGCGTCTTGCCTCGACCCTCAACGGGCCGCCGAAGCTGAAGGATGTGGAGCGCGAGTCGGTGAAGATCCCGATGACGACGCTCACGGACAGCAAGAACCTGGAGGAGACCGTGGAGAAGGACGCAGGAGTTGTCGCCGACAAGAGGCTACGTATTGTTGTGAGCATGCTTCGAGAGAGTTTTGGATTGCCTCATTCGGTCTTGCGGTGGATCCCCACACATACAATGGTGGCCGATGCTCTCACGAAAATCATGGAGGCCGGTATCCTTATGAGTTTCATGAGCGGCCGCGATTACAAGTTTACTGCGCCGACGCCCAGGGCCAAGAAACTCATCCAGATGCTCACGATGGTCTCTCTTTCAAAGGGCGCCGCTGGATACGAGCATATACCGAAGTACGAGGTCAGTTGCACAGAGTTCGCTGTGGACACTTTTGAGTATTCTGAGCAGTGGATATTTCCTTGGATGATGTGGTTTCGAGGTGCTGTGTGTGGAATTGGTTTTACTTTGGCTATGTTTCTTATCATTTTGATTTTCATGAGATTCAAGGGTGTGTTGACGATCGCCCGGGACGAAGAGATTCTCGTGCCAGTCGATACCGAGATTGTATCAGTGAAGCCGAAGACCGGACCCAAGGGCATGAAGGTGAGAGATGTGATGACCATGTCGCAGACGACTTATGTCAGGAGCCACAGGCACGTGGCGGTGAACAATTATGAGGGAGATGTATTCACTGGGACAACCTACACACGTAAGTGGCAATATCGAGGACGACGGGCCCTCCTTTCGAGCTCCCCGCTGAGCCCAAGGAGGTACTTCGCACTACGGGCCCCCTTTTGAGCTCCCCGCTGAGCCCAAGGGGGTACTCCGCGTGAGGCTCGACCTGGGTTGAGGTCCGAGCCGGTGACACTGCCGCGGCCACTTGGGCCTGCGGGACTTGTCCGCCACTGGGGCGGAGTGCAAAGACGATTTCCCCCTCCATCCTCGATCCCTTTCTCTTGAATTCACGATGTTTTTATGCTAGCAGGTTGTTTCACGTAAGAGTTGTTTCACTAAAGCCACTTGAGCAAGCCAGCAAAACCTGTTTAGAGCCCCGGGCCGACATTTGACAGAGGCACGTTTAGACCGTCAGCGACGGACCGTTTCCTTTTAGATTTAAACAGCGTTTAGATCAGCAGAAATGTACAGCGTACATTTGGAGGAGTGTGCGTGATCCATTGTGTAGCAGCAGCGTTGTGCATGATGTGTGCTCTGTAATGTTTCGGCTTAGGCGCTTTGACCAGTTTTAGCTACATATCAAAAGCATCGAGCGATATCAGCGATATCCGCCACGTCATCCCCGAGGGGGGCAAAGGGGGGTAGCAAAGCGAGACCACTGACGCCCACAGTGCTGGTGGGATTGACGTCATCTGTCTGGTGCGGGCCGCAGCATGGCCACCCAGATACGACATGGACGGTGCAGTTGCCATCCTCTGTTTGGGCGGATGTTCCGGTCGGCCAGTGCAGCTATATTGAATATGATTGAATTGTCCTTCTCCTCTCCTCCTCCTCCTCCTCCTTCTCCTGCTCCTCCTCCTCCTCCTCTGTTCCTTCGCTGCCCGAAAGCGCCAAGACGCTCAGGCTGGTGGCAGGAGGAGCACGGCGACCCGGTTCTGCGGTGCCAGAGGGGCGTGCCGCGCTCCGCCCATCGCGCGACTCGTTAGACTGCTCCCTCTGCCTCCCCCCGTCCTCCTCCCTTCCCCCAGAAGGGGGGGAAGGAGGGGCGGGAGGAGGAGGGAGAGGATGAGCCGTAGTAGCACAAAAAGCAAATACGATGAACAGGGGGGGTATGACGACAAGGGGGGAAGAGGAGACCGAGGTCGACGACGACGGCGGCGACGATGATGACGACGACAGCGAGTAAGAGGAGAAGAGGAGGAGGAGGAGGAGGAGGAGGAGGAGGAGGAGGAGGAGGAGGAGGAGGAGCGACGACGATGGAGACGGCGACGAAGAGGGGGACGATTGCGACGAGGACGAAGACGATAAGGAGGAGAGCAACCAGGAGGAGGGACGAAGGAGTTCCAGTGTCCCCACAGGTGCTGGGCATGCTGCCGCCCCCGCCCGCCCTGGACTCGGCCTGGGAGGCGCCGACGCGGGAGGCGCCGGGTGCCCAGCTGCCCTCGGCTGCCGCCCAGCTGCTGCTGTTGCTGCTGGCGCTGCTGCTGCTGTTGCTGCTGCTGCTGCTGCTGCTGTTGCTGCTCAGTCTCCGCCGTCGGTCGCCATCGGCGGCCTTCGGCTTCCCACGGCCAGGGCTGGCCGGCGGCAGCAGTGGCCAGCGGAGGCCCTCGGCGGCAGCCGATGCGGCTCGTCCGCCGCCGTGGCTGTGCGCTCGAGGCAGGCGCATCGTGCCGCCGCCAGCCTTGGTCGGAGCGGTAGTCTCTCGGGTACGAAAACCGTTCTTCCCCGCCCTGTTCCTGCTGCGGCGCTGGTGCCGCCGAGGCTGATGCCCTACCTCTGATCCTCGCTACGTCGCCGATCCTCTACCGCAAGAGCTATGTTGCGAGCGCACAGAGCTGCTAGGGGCTGCTGGGGTCCTGGACGTGGGCTGGCCGCCTTGCGCAGGGGCAACGCCCAGCCGGGCAAGGCCTCACGGCGGTCCAGGCTGCGCAGTGACTTCCTCCCCACCAGGGCTACGCCGGCGGACCTGCAAGAGGGCCGTGGCAGAAGCCCCGCTCCTGTGGGCGGGGAGGCGTCGGCCGGCGGCCGGGGAGCTGGACACTGGTGTCGTCGGGGCAGACGCTCGTGCACGTCTTGCACGCCGCTCCCCTCCAAAGGCCTCGTCTCGATGTGGCTTGGGGGAAGCGCCGGGCTGGTGACGAGCTCGGTGCTGGCAGAAGGCTCGCGAGGCGAAGGCTCGGCGATGGGACCCGCTCGAAAGCGCTTAAATCTCTGGGCAGGTGCATGGTGCGAGGAAGCCCGACCACGTATACTCTCTCAGTATCAAAAACCCTTTCCTTATCCTCCTCCCTCATCCTCATCCTTCTCTGTCCAAGGCGGTCACGACGACGACAGCGACAACGGCGACAGCGACAACGGCGACGACGACGGCGAGGGCAACGACCACGCGGGTCACAACGGCGGCGGCCACGACGGCGACGATGGCCACGACGACGGCAATGAAGACGGTGGCGGCCACGACGACGACAACGACTTCTATCTTTCGGCGTCCTTTGATGGCTATACGCATTTAGAACCTACGACAACACTTCCAGGAGACGCGCAGGCAATCAAAGCGCAAGTTCGACGCGCGATTTCAAAACAGTCGATGATGTCATTGCGCGAGTCGAAACGTGGGGGAGCACCAATCTCAAGCGACACCTGGAAATCCAGAAGAACAGTATCGGCCCCTCGGAAGCGACATCGGGAATCGGGACAAAAAACAGTATAGGCCAAAATGGAAAACGCGACACTCGTATCTTGAGCCGATAAGCACCTCCCTCCTCCCTTCTCCCTCCACTGCCCTCCTCCCTCCTCCTCATCGCTCCCTTCTGTTCCTTCCTGCTCCTGCCTCCTCCCGCTCCCCTTCCATCGTCTTCCTCATCCGACCCCCCCTTCGGGTGGCCCAGGGGGCCCGAGAAACCGCGGATCCCATTCCACCAGCTGCAAGACCTCCATCGGGGCCCTCTGAAAGCCCCAGGGGGGGGGGCATCAAAACTTCTGAGAGCCCCAGGGGACCCTCTGAAACCCCCATTGGGGCCCTCTGAGAGCGCCAGTTTCTGCCTGAGCGTCGCCTCGGGCCCCCCTTGCCTCGCGCCCCTCCTGCCAAGGAAAAGTGGAAGGGAGAAGAAACTGGTGGGAGGGACGGGCGGGGGCCGAGAGTGAGGGGGTGAAGTACGTGAGGAAGAAGAGGGAGGATGATGGGCCTGCGCCCCCCCCTCTGCCTCTCCTTCTTCTGCCCTACTGGCCCCGACGCGCGAGAAGAGGGTGAAGATGGAGGGGGGGGGGTAGGATGAGGAAGAGGGCGAAGGGGGTGGGCGCAGAGGAGGAGAGGAGAGGGGGGCGAGGGGCAGGACGAGTGGGAGAAACCAGAGTGCGGAGAAGAGCAGGAGGAGGAGGACGAGGACTGGTCCAATCTTTCTCTCGCCCACGCCAGTGATCTTGCTGAAGGTGGCCTTCGTCAAGACAATACCGCTCTTGAGTTTTTTTCTGGAGAAAAACACGGCTGTATACCTTCGGGCTGGATCGTTGTCGTTGCAGGTGGCCAGGTCCAGCTCCTGAGCAGCCATTGATAGCTGTTGCAGCGGCATCGCCATCGGCCACAACAGCGATCTCCCCTGGCTTGGATGCTGCACCATCTGGAGCAAATGCGGAGGCACCGCCCTCGACTCTCTCTGAACGGCTACAGCATCGATCGTTGCCCCACTCGGCCGCTCGCCAGCCCGCGCCTCTTTGGCCTCGCGGGCCCTGGCCGCCCTCCTCGCGCGAGACGCGCCGCTGGACTGGCCCGACTCCTCGGGGAGGACGACCGTGGCCAGAGCCGACGCTCTGCGGCAGTCCGTTGCGCAATCGCGCCGCCCTGCTCGCCGAGCGCACCTGTCGCCACCGTCTGCAGCCAAGGCTCGAGCTAAACGGTGTTTTGGCAATTTCGTGGACCGTTTTCGTTTTGATTTCGTTTTGCAGCAAATGTGGAACGGAGGCAGAACTAGGGATGACGAAAACAAAACGAAAACGGAAAACACTGTTTAATTCGAGCCCTGTCTGCAGCACGCGCTCGGCGTGGTGCTGCGCGCCGCCGTCCGCGGGGCCAGCATCGCCGCCGCCGTGGAGCCGGAGGGCGGCGAGCTCCCCGCCCCGCGCGCCGCGAGAATCGTCGGCGTCGTCGCTGCCGTCGTAGCCGTCAGACACCTTGTGTTGCGCACTGTTTGAAAACAACAAAAATACGATAAGCAGAACCACAACGAATGTTTGAACGCAGAATGGCGACGGCGCAAAGGGAGGAGAGGGGCGCAGGAGAAAGAGGGGGAGCCAGAAGTCTCGGAGGGGGAGGGGGAGCGCAGCAGCAGAAACAGGAGCAGCAGCAAACAGAAAGAGATGAGGAGGAGGAGGAGGAGGAGGAGATTCTGGAGACTGCTTGATCGCAACCTGGAAATCTGCAGACCCTGGCTAACTCAGGAGAACGTTGGAGAATTTCTTGGGGACGCCTCTGGAGATTCTGGGGAACCTTGGACCAGAACCCCACATTAACTCGCAGGCCCCAGCTCCGCAACCCAAACAGTGGCACGCACCCTACTTGCACTGCACCATGCCACTGAACGATGTTCTGTGTCGGGCGCTAGTCTTCTTTCGGGGGGGATGCGCACTCCGACGAATGTAAATGTACGCGTTGTGTTCTTCTTGGGCGTTGTAATGGTTAACGCGACACCTAGCGTGTCAAACCCGCGGGGCGCATATAGTCACCACGACACCTGGCGAGTCGGTTCCAGACCTCTGAATGTTTTTTTTGATTGTTTTTGCTTGGCCCCACAGAAGCGACACGTCAATGGTTTTCAGATCGATGTCAAATCCCGAATTATTTTTGTCTTCGGAATAGCTTCAGAGAAACCTGAGGCATATAAACAGCGGCCACGACGACGACGACGACCACGACGACGACGACGACGACGACGACGACGACGCCGACGACGACGACGACGACGACGACGACGACGACGACGACGACGACGACGACGACCCGACGGAGGCGACAGCGGCGGCGGCGGCGCAGCGGGAGGCGCCGCCGCCCAGCAGCCCAAGGCCGGCTTGCAGCCCGAGGCCCCGAGGGTGGCTGAAGTCGGTTGCGCGGAAGGGTGATTTTTCGCCGGAGTGACCTTCGGCGCGAAGAAGACAAGTAGAAATTTTCGACGGTTCGCGCGGATGTCTTGGACCTGCGCACTCCGCGCGGAGCTGCGAAAGTTTACGTGGATGATTTTGCCTCTGCATGTGGTGCGGGCCCACAGGGGCCACCCCATCACATTATTATCCGGACGCCCGAAATGGGTACGGAAAGAGTGGGTACAATGGCCAACAGCAGTTCCTGTTCATTTTGAACAGGGCTCGCTGTCCGCGCCGCCGCGGCCTGTGTCCATTCGAGACAGGAGGCCGCCTGCCCAACAGCGGCCGCTGCTGGTTTGGGACAACATTTGTTGTTGGGCATTGTACCCATTCTTTCCGTACCCATTTCGGGCGCCCAAATACGACAGATGAGCGACGCACAAAAAGAGGGTCGTCTTCACTGACATTGGCACGTGAGCTGCCCGCGTAGGGTCGCGCGTGAGCGCCCTCCTCTCCAAAGCAGCATGCCGTGCCGGCGGCCCGTGTAGGCCACCGCGTACGGTCGCTACGTCATCTCGCGTAGCACTCGTTCTTGATCGTCACTCAGATGACGATCTCAGACCTGTGATGGGGACAGCTCGTTTTTTCAGGCACTCTTACTGAGCTTTCGGCGACCACGTCGCCTCTTCAGACTGGCCTGAGTTGAAACGGCTGTGGTCGTCCCTCCCGCCAGCGCGCGCACGCGCGCAGGAGCAAGGAAGGGAGGGGAAAGGAGTGTACTGCCTGACTGCACCGCTCCACTTCGAGGAGCCTGTGCCAGACACGAGAGAAGCTGGATTAGAATATAATTTCTAAGCCTCGGAAAAATTGTTCGGTCCCAGCGCTGGCTTGCGCGCTCGGATTTGCCCCCACCCCACCCCACCCCACCCGCGGCCCCATGCAGCCGCGCACCAAAGGCCAGCCTTGCCTACAGTCGAGGAGCTGAAATTAGGACCACTTTGGGGTTCAGGAGGGGCCCCGGTTTTGGGGCCACTCCTTAGATCTAGGTCGGGACGCCTGTTCGTGGCCGAGGCTCGCCGTGGTCAGGAAAGCCCCTTCGTTCCACATCTGGCCTTCCTCACGGCAGCGCGCCGACCGTAGGGCTACCTTAGTTGCCTCGATACGCGCGTTTTGAAACGCAACACGTCCCGTGTTCAAGACGTCCGTGTCAATACGTTGCGTGTTGGCTCCACGTGTCGGACCACGTATTGGCGAATGTATCGCGTCGGACCTACGTCTTCAGCCGACGTGTTGAGTTCCGCATCGACACGGTACGTGTTGCGTGTTGCGTCTCGGGGCAGCTATGGGGGCTACCTCCTCCTCCTCCCTCCGCTCTTGCGTCCAGCCGAGGCGCAGAGGGGTCGGTCGGGCTCGGCCTCGAGGGGCCAGCCCAGCGCCGTCTGACGAGCCCAGCGCACGCCCCACGCGCACGGGTCACGGGCTTCCGTGCCTGAAGGGGGCTCAGTGCAGTCGGGGGGGCAAGGGGAGGAGAGAGGACGAAAGAGGAGGAGGAGTAGGAGGTGGAAGATGAGGAAGGAGGACGGAGGAGGAGGAGGAGGAGGAGGAGGAGGAGGAGGAGGAGGAGGAGGAGGAGGAGGTGTGAATTGTACTCCATACAATGCAGTTGCCAGTGAGTTGAGAGGATGTCTGACATAAGTTGTTAGATACATCCCTCCCCCCCAGCACGCATGACAGAGCATGTGCACAGCAAGCAGTGCGCAGCAGCAGGACATGATAGCAAACACCATTGCCATCTTAGCTCGAGAGGCCTCCCGGCATACCAAAAGGTTACCATCGCCTCTCCCCGCCCGCAGAGCGTGATCAGGGACGGCGTCGAGGACGTTTCGGCCGAGGACGGGAAACGGATTTCGAGGGAGGTTAGACGACCTAGAGAGCGTTGAGCAGTTGACATTGGTAGCGGAGCAGTTGCTCCACGGACGCGTACACAGTGAAGTACTTCAACGATGGGTCCACCAGACGGCAAAGGGGGACGAGGAGCAGCAGCAGGAGGCGCGCTTGGACGCGCTGCAGCAGCTGGAGACGGTCAGCAGCTCTCCTCGGGATTCCTGGGTCGAGCTCCAGAGTTCGATGGCTCGATCGACGGGTACAAGACCTTCAGACGGAAGGTGGAGATCTTTGCAGCACGGGGTCGTGGTAGAGAACAGGAGAGGACAGGAGGTTTGGAGATCATGCAGGGCCTGAATGGTCGAGCGTGGGAGGTGGTCGAGGATTTGGATATCGAGAAGCTCGAGGAGGAGAAAGGTTGGAGGACCATCTTAGACGTGCTCGACCGGGCGTACAAGTACGACCATATCACGGAGCTGCCGACAGACTTCGAGACGTTCTTCTTCAAGACAGCCCGCAAGCCCAAGGATACGCTGATGGATTACCTCACGAGGTTTCGCACGGCCGAGCGGAAGATTCGTGCACATGACGTTGCACTGTCAGACAAGGTGATCGGCTGGTTCTTGTTACGACGGGCAGGTTTGGACAGAGAGGGCAAGCAGCTGGTCACGAGCCAGGTTGGCGACGACCTGTCGCTGGACACGGTGGAGAGCGAGATGAAGAAGACGTTCGGCCTGGACTCCTTCCCAAGCACCAGAGCGAGCTCGGGAGCGGCAGCCTACAACCTGGACGACTACGACGACGAGGACGAGATCCAGGAAGATGCTTACTATCACTACGGATACGAGGAAGACGATTACTACGAGGAAGCTGCAGAGGACCAACAGGTATATGCAGGCCACAGCTTCGACTCAGAGGCAGCCTACTACAGCGAGACGGCCACCATGGGTGGCAACCCCATGCCGGACCAGTCGTATGATGTGGATCAGTACGATGAGATTATGGCAGCCTACACGGACGCAAGGCAGAAGATGAATGACATGCGATTGGCTAGAGGTTTCTACCCAGTTGTCGCGATGGTGCCGCCACCACAGAGAAGCTCAACGGCCATCGTTCCCAGGGCCAGCCAGGCTCGAGGACGAGGCGCAGCACGTGGCACATCGAGGGGCAAGGCGACTGGGAGAGGTACCAGCAAAGGACGTGGCAAGAGTACGTGCACCAGCGGATATGGCCGAGGTTCACCTGGACGAGGTCAGCCATCACACCCGCCGCTGATCAGAGCGACAGAAGAAACGACATGCCTACGATGCGGAGGTCGAGGCCGCTTCGCCAGGGACTGCCCGCGCGCGAGCCGCAAGAGGCAGAACGTTGGAGATGGCGCGGCCGAGGCGAGGATGGTCACGGACGAGGCGGAGGACGTCTACAACTCGACCGAGCTGGAGCCATCGGAGGCGATGCACGATAGTGGAGCGACCAGCGTGATAGTGGGCCATGAGACGCTCAAGGGCTACTGCAAACAGCTGGTTGCAAAGGGGTTCCCGGTCAACAAGATGAAGATCTTCCCGTGCAACAAGAGTTTCAGGTGCGGCAACGACGCGACCGGCGATGCGACCGCATGTGTCATGGTTCCCTCCTTCCTGGCGGCAAGTTCGTGGAGATCCTCACCTGCGTGATCCCCGGGCGCACGCCATTCCTGTTCGCCAGACCGGTGATGGAGGAGCTTGGCATGGTCGTGGACTACAAGAACAAGAGGGCATGCTGGGACGGCGACGGCAAGTGGTTTCATCTACGCCAGCAGCCCAAGCGAGGACATCTCATCATGGATATCCTGGAGAGCTACGATGAGTGTATGAAAGAGCGTGCCGACCAGAACTTGTTGCCGTAGAATATGCTGGACCATGTTCGCGCGCAGCGCCCAATCAGTCCCTGCACCTTCTTGGGAGACGAGGTGCTGGCCTACGAAGATTCGGTGGACTTCATCGGCAACATGGTCGAGATCGACAAAGAGGTCACCATGGCAAACGACGACATCCACATCGCCAAGGACTTCAACGTCAAGCAGTTGCGCAAGTGCCAGGACGCCCTCTACGCGGCCTTTCAGGAGTTGAGCAGGGCCAAGGACGCCAAGAAGGGCAAGCGCAAGATCTGGGAGGTCTACGGCGGCGACTCGGAGTCGCAGGGAGGTCCACGGCGGCGTCTGTTCAGGTTTCCCAGGGGAGCCGAGGAGGATGTGGCCACGCGGAGTCGGAGGAGGTATGCGGAAGCCAGGAGGAAGTTTCAGGAGATGGGTTTCGCTTCCCTGGTTCAGAGGTTTCTTCGTGTTTCCTGGAATCTGGCAAAAGACACGCGCGAGTTTATCCACGTGATCCAGGCGGACATATATGATGAGTGGAGGAATGCTGGTCGGACTTGGCGTGACGTACGTGCGTGGTTGTGTGCATATAGTGTTATGTGGGACCGCGTCCGCACGGATGCCTCGGAGTTCCTGCGCATGAATTTCTACCTTCGTGAATCCAGTCTGATGAAACGCCAGCGGGGAGGGGGGCTTGCCATTGGACAGAGACATTGGACCCACATGTTGTCAGAGTTCTTCGGGCCCAAGTGGTGGGAGGATGTCCGTGCTATACCAGGGACCTTAGCAGTTCGCCGCGCGCGTCTGTTCTCGGGAAATGCTTGACTGTTTCGAGATCCATGCCAAAACACATAGTCATCCTAGGGCTACTGGGGAGGTCCATATCCAAACTCAGCAGGAACTTCAGGAGTATGGAGTGGAGGAGGGATCACAAACTGCCAATGATCGTCTAGCTAAACGACTTGCTGTACACACATCCAAATGGGAAAATGCCGAGTGGGATCTTGAGGCCTTCGGAGTCCCCATAAGTATCCATGGAGATAGCCTCTTGGTTGTATCATGGTGCCAAGGTTACTGGCAGGTGACCAACAAAGATTATCAAAGGAGAGCCGACAGGATCATACATCGTCTGGATGGTATGTCTTTTATGTTTCGTATGCGCCCGTTTGCTCCTGGAAGAGACCTTATCGAACTATGCTTCAGGGAATGGAATACAAGGGCGGACGTGCTCACTCATACTGCCCGAGAGGGCATCAACATATTTCAGGATTGTATCGGGCAGCAGCCCAACGAGTATGCGAGTCTTTACAGGTATTGTGCCATCTATTGTGGCTTCGATGGTGGAGTGTCGACGGCGGGTGTCGGAGTCGGTTGCTGGATTGATGTCGGTCGTGTCTCGCGGACGTGTCGTAAGCCGAGCTCCAGAGATATTGTGTGGACGGAGGTGTATAGTGCTGCTTTCTCTATCGACAGCAATGCTTCAGTTACTGATGCCGAACTGTCGGCGATTGAACATATCATTGATGTTCTTCCACGGGTTCTTCGCACATAGTTTGAGTTTGAACTTTTGTGACTTGTGACTGCGTTGCTTTCTTCATGCTTGTGTGTTCATGCATGCGCGTGTGTCGAATAAGAGCTTCGCTTGATGGCCATTTGTTCGAAAGTGAGCTTCGCTCCCTGCCGCATGCGTGTGGTGGGCGGTTTGGCTCACCTGTATGTCACCCGTTTCCTTGCTAGCGACTGAGCCTGACGGCCCGCGCAGTCGACCGCAAAGACCGCAAAAGGCTCGGAGTTGACAGAGGAGCTGAGACAGCGCGGACACCAGGCGAGGTCGTTCGGAGTGCACAACGGCTGGGACTTCAGCACGCCCAGCATTCAGAAGAAGTTCCTCAATCTGATCGACGAGGAGCAGCCCGACGACATATGGATCAGCCCCGAGTGCAAGGTTTGGACGATCATGCAGGAGCGAGGTTGCAAAGCCGACGAGGACAAGAAGTTGTTGCAGCGTCGTGCGGATCATCATCGCACGAACCTGATGTTCTGCTAGCAGATCTACCACAAACAGCGGCAGGCTTACCGAGATGCTCACCTTGAGCAACCAGCTACGGCACGGAGCTGGAGGACGAAGGCACTTTACGAGTTACCCGGACATCATGTATTTTCGATCAGTGCATGACAGGACTGGAGATTCCAGGAGAAGGATTGGCTCGGAAACGCAATGGAGTTCGCGCGACATGACGAGGAATGGCTCAAGGACTCAACGAGTACCAGTGTGATAAGCAGCACAAGCACGTCCACCTCGAGGGCAAGGTTCCCGGCACCAACTTGCGCCGCGCCAGCTTCGCCGAGAACTACGGGCCCCTCGTGGCGCAGATCCTGAGTGGCCTGCTGGAGCAACCACCGAGTCAGGACACCGACATCCTGGCGTTGGGCCTGCAGGAGGGCGAGGACGCGGTGGAGCACATATACCATGCGACGGTGGACAGCAACGAGGCCAAGCTGACGTGCCAGAACAAGATGCTAAAGAGCGAGTTCGGCCAGAACGTGTTCGGTTACGTGGAGCGCCTCCACAAGAACCTGGGCCATCCCAGCACGGAGGTGTTCGTGGGGATGCTGACGGCGGCGGGCGCCAGAGAGGAAGTCATCGCCTGCGCCAAGCACTACAAGTGCGCCAGCTGCGCGGAGCGTAAGCGAGCATCGCAGCCACCGAAGTCAGCACCAACATCCTGGACGACGTTCAACCAGGCACTCTACCTAAACTTTTTCGAGTTCAAGCTGCGCTCAGGCTCGGCGAGGATCGCGCACGTGCTGGACGGAGCTAGCCGGTTCCAGAAGTGCAGGATCGTAAACCGTGAGACGACCGCCAAGGCCATCAAGTCCATCGAGAAGGAGTGGATCCGGCATTACGGGACCCCAACCAACCTCGTGATGGATGAGTGCGGCGCAGCATGCAGTCAGGAGACGCTCGACTGGGCCAGCCAACACAACATCCAGATGCGAGTCGCCCCTGGCGAGGCTCATCAGGTCTTGGGCCCCGTGGAGCGAGCTCACCAGGTGACGCGCGAGACGACGGAGCTCTGGTTCGAGGAGGCCGGTCTGGAGCGCTCCACCGAGAACCTGAAGACAGCTGGACTACGTGCCCAACCAGATCAACAGGATGATGCGCCACAAGGGCTACAGTCCAGCACAGTGGGCCCTGGGCTACAATCCCGAGCTGAACGACTCCCTGTCCGCAGACACTCTGGACACGCAGCAGCGGAGGCCTACTTGGAGGAGGAGACTTTCCAGGAGGCGACGCAGCGGCGCGTGGCCGCAGCTACGGCATTCATCAAGGCGGACTCGACGGAGAGGCTTCGCAGGGCTTTCCTGCGGACGCGGCGTTGCGCGAGGATTTTGAGAGTGGCCAGCCCACGGTCTACTGGGTCACGCATGGCGGGGGTCTTCTGCGGTGCAGCCCGGATCAGATCAGACCCATCGTGGAGCGGATCGGCGAGCCGAAGCGACCGGCAAATCTGCGGGCAACACAAACCGCTTTGCAAGGGCTACGACGTGGAGGTATTGTGCAGTTCTTCGACATCAGCCAGCTGCCCGGCCCCAGTGAGGAGGACCGCGCAGGCGAGCCGATGGATGGGGGATGAGCCAGCTCCAGCTACTGGGAGCGCGCCGACGGTGGAGCAGGCCATGGCGGACCAACTCAGACAGGTATCTGCTCAGGGCTCAGAGCCTCAAGCGGAGCCTAGGCCTGCCAGCAACGAGGAACCCGCGCCGACGGAGACCAACCAGGCCATCCCAGATGACGACGATGCCGATCTACTACCACAGCCAGAGCAGCAAGAAGCACCAGCAGTTCAACAACCACCAGCTGAGCTACCTGATCAGCAGGTGACCGACGCAAGAGCAAGGTTCAGGGAGATGCGGAGGACCCAGGACGCCTCGGAGATGGCACCACTACGTACGTTCTCATCTCAGCGAGACCGACAGAGCAGCGTCAGCCGATCGGGCCCCTATGACAAAGTGGAGATCGCAGAGGATGTGATGTTCATGAGCGTGGAGGTCCTACCCAACGGCTGGAGCTACGACGTGGAGACCATGGCGTTCAACCTGGACTTTGAGGAGTGCTACGCGACGGGTGAGCTGAGCGAGAGGAACCTGAACGCTGAGGACAAGGCCGAGCTTGCGGAGGCGAAGCGCGCGGAGCTCCAGAGCTTCTTTGACAACCAGGTCTGGGAGCAGGACAAGAAGGAGGTGGAAGACCCCAAGAAGGTCTTGCGTGCTCGGTTTCTGCTAAGAAGTGGTCGAGGAACGCTGGCGGGAGCCATCGAGCCAAGGCGCGGCTGGTGATCCAAGGGTTTCGCGATCCAGACGCCATCGCGGGGACCCTGGCCAAGTCTTCACCTACTATGACGAGATTGAGCAGGACGTTCATCGTGCTCCTGAGTCGCGTCCATGGCTGGATCCTGTTCACGGCGGACGTGAGCACTGCATTCCTGCAGGGCAAGCGCTCGGATCGCGGCATCTCTGTACTCCTGCCATCCGAGGCCTGCAGGATGCTCGGGTACCAACCTGGAACAAGGATGAAGTTGCTCAAGAGCATGCACGGCCTGAGCGACGCGCCGAGGCTCTGGTGGGAGGAGGCTACAGACCGCATGATCGGGCGCGGCTTCGTGGTTCACCCTCTGGGCCCCTGCCTGTTCCTGAGCTACCGGCTGGACGAGACGAACGTGAAGGTGTTCGACGGCGCTATCGGACTACATGTGGACGATATGCTAGGAGGCGGCAGCAACCAGGAGGGCCAGGCGTGCTTTGCGGTGCGCGTCCAAGAGATCAAGAAGGTTTTCAACTTCCGGACGTGGGAGGACACCGAGATTGGCACCCTGAACGTGGCAGATGACTCGTCCATGGACTTCTGTGGCAACCAGCTCACCAAGGCAACCGACGGCGAGTATCGCATGAGCTGCGAGGCCTACATCAAGGCACTCAAGCAGATCACGATGACCCAGAGCAGGGCCAGCGACCACAAGTTGGCCATCACGGAAGGCGAGCGACGGCAACTACGAGGTCTCATGGGCAGCTTGGCGTGGCCAAGCAACCAGGCGGCGCCTCATTTGCAGTGCAGCGTGAGTCTCGGACAAGGTTCGACCAACGAGTGCTCCGCCGTGCAGGACTTAGTGGAGGCCAACAAGACGCTGAGGTTCGCCAAGGCCAACAGCGACGTGCGCCAGGTGTTTCCCAAGATATGCGATGACCCCAACGAGGTGGCGTTCATTTGTATGACGGACGCGGCATGGGCAGTACGACGAGATGGAAGTTCGCAGGGAGGCTACCTCATCCTGGCGGCGCATAGGAGTGTGCTAGACGGCGAGACGGTCAAGTACACCGTGGTCGATTGGCGCTCGTGGAAGCTACCGAGGGTGAGCAGGTCCTCATTGGCGAGCGAGGCCCAAGCTGCAGCAGGAGGAGTGGACGCACTCGAGTATGTGATGCTCGACCCGACGAGGGACCCGAGGCTCGACGGCACCATGGCGGCGCTGGGAAGGAGTGCAGCGGTGGTGGACGCTGAGGCGCTGCACGACGCGGCCCAGAAGCCACGCGTGCACAACTTCGACGACAAGCGGGCGGGCACCGAGGTGCAGGTGCTCAAGGAGCGTATGACGGCAAGCGCTACGGGCTGGTACTGGGTCAGCTCGGAGCGCCAGTTCGCGGACGGCTTCACCAAACTGTCGGCGCGACAATTGCTGGCAGACAGGCTGCGTATTGGAACGATCAGCCTGAAGTTCGACGAGAAGTTCCAGGCGGCGAAGAAGATGACCGGCAAGGACCGACAGGAGGAGGCCAAGAGGTTCGCCACACCAAGGCCGAAGGCAAGTACAATGACGGCGATGGCGACCATGGCATCCCTGACGACGGCAGCCAGCAGCGAGGTGGAGATCTACGATGCCAAGGCGACGGCAGTGATGGAGCTCGAGTGGAACATGACCCCTCAGGTGGTGATCAAGATTCCCCTCGTCACGTTCATCAAGGCAGTGTTGACGACCATTATGATGATCGTGGGCATCCTCATGGTGTGCTACCGGACCCACGACAAGTGGTCCGAGAAGGAGACCAGACCCCACCACTCAGAGCCAGAGCCTGAGCAGACGACAGAGAAGACGAAGTACAAGCGTGAGCAGAAGGTGAAGACCAGCAGCATCAAGTTTCACGTTTGAGTTCAAGGGCCCGTACACTACTCATCTGTGGGCCAAGCTGATGGAGTCTACGGACGGTATGTTCATGCTACGCAGGGTTTCGCCCGAGGCTGGGAAGTAACGAAAGAGCTAGCGGAGTCCAGCGCAGGCCTCAAGGGCCAAAGTGAGTGAGCCCCGGCAAAACACGTTTTGCATCCTTTCCCCAGTATCGCAGTTTTTCTGTCTACCCCCCCCTCGCAATGAAGCTATCGTTGAGAGAGGTTGATTGCGACGATCGACCGGCGCATTGCTCTCGAGCATGTTTTAGTAGCAGGCAAGGTGATCACAAACAGCTGTGCAGGATTTTCTTTTCGAGATCAAGGTGAGAGTTTAATCAGTTTTCGTTCCCTTTTTCACCAGTGTGAATTGTACTCCATACAATGCAGTTGCGAGTGAGTTGAGAGGATTGCAGACATAAGTTGTTAGATACATCCCTCCCCCCAGCACGCATGACAGAGCATGTGCACAGCAAGCAGTGCGCAGCAGCAGGACATGATAGCAAGCACCATTGCCATCTTAGCTCGAGAGGCCTCTCGGCAGACCAAAAGGTTACCATCGCCTCTCCCCGCCCGCAGAGCGTGATCAGGGACGGCGTCGAGGACGTTTCGGCCGAGGACGGGAAACGGATTTCGAGGGAGGTTCGACGACCTAGAGAGCGTTGAGCAGTTGACAGGAGGAGGAGGGGGAGGACGAGGACGAGGAGGAGGAGCAGGAGGAGCAGGGGGAGGAGCAGAAGCAGGAGCAGGAGGAGGAGCAGTCGGGGAGGAGAGAGGACGAAGGAGGAGGAGGAGGAGGAGATGGAAGATGAGGAGGGAGGACGGAGGAGGAGGAGGAGGAGGAGGAGGAGGACGGAGGAGAGGGAGGAGGAGGAGGAGGAGGAGGAGGACGAGGACGAGGACGAGGACGAGGAGG